TAAGGTTTTTAAAGGTTTTTTTTAAGGCTCTTTAGTCTATAGTTAAGCTATTACTTCTTTCTCTTCTTCTTCTTCTCTAATCTTCAGACCCTCTCTGGGAACCCCCTCCTTACTTCTCAAGGTGCTTATCAAATGGGCTATAGCAGTAGCCAAATAGTAATCATGTAGGCAGATTAACAGTTCTCACTCACCCACTTCAGTGAAGCTGCTTCAGAGTTTGCTGTTCTGGGTTGTTTGATCTCCTGTGGCCATGTTCTTAATGGGGGTTCCTAGTGGGTCCCTTTTTTCCTTTTCTCCTTGTGTCGTAGAGCCTCTCCTGGGGTCTGCTTGATGGCAGGACACAGGCAACGATTTTTTTCCCCCAGTCTCTTAGGACGCCAGCCGGCTTCCTCTTCTCCCAGCAGTCCCCCGCGGCAGCCCACGTGGTTACTTCGCTCTCCTCGTCGCCTGGCAACCCCACTCTCCCTCCTGGATCACCTCAGGCAGTCCTCCAGCGGACAGTCGCCTCGGCTTCCCACCCCCCAACAAGCCACCGCACCGCCGCCAGGATCCCCCGTCCCCCCGCCTCTCTCGGTGAGTCTTCGGCAGCTCAGCGGTTACGGACACATTAGGGAGGTTAGGAGGGGAAGGTTATCGGAGAGCGTCTAATCTCCGCTCTCCCGCGCCTCCATGGTGGGTGAGTGGGCCTTTCGTCCAGAGCTGTTTGAAAAACTCTGATGATGGTTGGGAATCCCAGAAGAAGACATTCACCAGACTTGAGAAATTAAAGTGTAATAAGTCAGAGAGGGCATCAAATGAAAACTCCTCAGGAGTCCAAAGTCTCTTTATTGTTCAGCTGGTTACAACAAGCAGGCCAAAAGACTTGTGTCTGTGGCCACACAATACCTTTTCATTAGGGCTGGGTGAAATGGTAGGCTGTTAAATGGACTCAAAAATATCCTAAACAGATTGATCTGCAGGCAGAGGGTGCTATAAACAACAGTCAGTGCTGGTGTTCACAGTAGAAGTAGCAAGTGAAAACGATCAATAAAAAAATTAGTTACTATGTGATGCACAAGCCTCAAAATAAACAAAAACTTTCCTTTACATTCCCTTACTAAGCCAAATCCTCCTTCATTTGGATCTCGCATGCTCACCCTCCAAGCCACTGTAGTTCACAGTGGGAGGGTCTCGGGAACAGAAGCATACAGTCAGGTCCATAAATATTGGGACATTGACACAATTCTAACATTTTTGGCTCTATACACCACCACAATGGATTTGAAATGAAACAAACATGATGTGTTTTAACTGCAGACTGTCAGCTTTAATTTGAGGGTATTTACATCCAAATCAGGTGAACGGTGTAGGAATTACAACAGTTTGCATATGTGCCTCCCACTTGTTAAGGGACCAAAAGTAATGGGACAAATGGCTTCTCAGCTGTTCTATGGCCAGTGTGTGTTATTCCCTCATTATCCCAATTACAATGAGCAGAAAAAAGGTCCAGAGTTAATTTCAAGTGTGCTATTTGCATTTGGAATCTGTTGCTGTCAACTCTCAAGATGAGATCCAAAGAGCTGTCACTATCAGTGAAGCAAGCCATCATTAGGCTGTAAAAAAACAAAACAAACCCATCAGAGAGATAGCAAAAACATTAGGCGTGGCCAAAACAACTGTATGGAACATTCTTAAAAAGAAGGAACGCACCGGTGAGCTCGGCAACACCAAAAGACTCGGAAGACCACGGAAAACTACTGTGGTGGATGACCAAAGAATTCTTTCCCTGGTGAAGAAAACACCCTTCACAACAGTTGGCCAGATCAAGAACACTCTCCAGGAGATAGGTGTATGTGTGTCAAAGTCAAAATCAAGAGAAGACTTCACCAGAGTGAATACAGAGGGTTCACCACAAGATGTAAACCATTGGTGAACCTCAAAAACGGGAAGGCCATATTAGAGTTTGCCAAACGACATCTAAAAAAGCCTTCACAGTTCTGGAACAACATCCTATGGACAGATGAGACCAAGATCAACTTGTACCAGAGTGATGGGAAGAGAAGAGTATGGAGAAGGAAAGGAACTGCTCATGATCCTAAGCATACCACCTCATCAGTGAAGCATGGTGGTGGTAGTGTCATGGCGTGGGCATGTATGGCTGCCAATGGAACTGGTTCTCTTGTATTTATTGATGGTGTGACTGCTGACAAAAGCAGCAGGATGAATTCTGAAGTGTTTCGGGCAATATTATCTGCTCATATTCAGCCAAATGCTTCAGAACTCATTGGACGCCGCTTCACAGTGCAGATGGACAATGACCCAAAGCATACTGCAAAAGCAACCAAAGAGTTTTTTAAGGGAAAGAAGTGGAATGTTATGCAATGGCCAAGTCAATCACCTGACCTGAATCCGATTGAGCATGCATTTCACTTGCTGAAGACAAAACTGAAGGGAAAATGCCCCAAGAACAAGCAGGAACTGAAGACAGTTGCAGTAGAGGCCTGACAGAGCATCACCAGGGATGAAACCCAGCATCTGGTGATGTCTATGCATTCCAGATTTCAAGCTGTAATTGACTGCAAAGGATTTGCAACCAAGTATTAAAAAGTGAAAGTTTGATTTATGATTATTATTCTGTCCCATTACTTTTGGTCCCTTAACAAGTGGGAGGCACATATGCAAACTGTTGTAATTCCTACACCGTTCACCTGGCTTGGATGTAAATACCCTCAAATTAAAGCTGACAGTCTGCACTTAAAGCACTTAATGTTCGTTTCACTTCAAATCTATTGTGGTGGTGTATAGAGCCAAAAATGTTAGAATTATGTCGATGTCTCAATATTTATGGACCTGACTGTAGCTGTCGCTCCCTAAAGTATTGGGTAGGACTAGGTGTAGCCAGATGTTGATTGACAAGCTACAGGCTTGTGAATCAACAGCGAAGATGCTGATAGCCATGCCCCTCTCGCAACATCTTTTTATACCACTGTAATACAAACAGGCACAGCCTACATGAGTGAGAACTCTGCTCTAAATTCACGAGCAGTGCAACATTGTTACCACACCATCACATAAAGCTGCATTAGGTGGACTGACTCCACTAGCAGGCTTGCCAGTTATTTGTGGTACATAGGGGAACTAAAATAATGATTGTAGATACACTTTTAATTAAATGCTGCAGCAAATATTTCCATGTAATGGAAGGCAATAGTTCTACTTTAATATTTCATGTTTTTGTGTAATTTGCATATTTAGGCCTCTTGTCCTGGCTTGGTGCAAAGTGCTGTGCAGCCGATGCATTCTACCAGCTCTTTTTCAGCCTCCTTGAGATGGAAGTGACAGGAGATCTTTGATCCATGAAGTGGCTGCTCCACATCCTGCAGAAGGGAAAGGTGTCACAAGAAAAACTTATTGCAGGTATATGTGTAAAGCTAGCCATACACAGGGACCAGACAAATTTCGATCAGTATGTGGCTGTCCCTGTTTGATCAGTAAATCAACTTCTGTCAAAAGGGACATGCAGGAAGACTTTTGTCAATTAGTGGCTGTTTATGGTCGGGTGCAGTGGCTGATCAGTGTATTCTGTCAGCAGGGTGTCCCAATGTCAGAATAAAATTTCTCAGAAGGGGTGATTCCTCCATTCACCTTGATTGGATGGAGGAAACCGTTTTTGGTTGAATGAAAAAAACTAACAGTGTATGGCCAGCTTAAGGCTGTAAATGCAGACACTCCACTTCCTAGAGCTTGTACATTTAAAAGTATTAGTTGTGTAACCAGATACTTGCAGTAAATACAGCACTGAGATTTAAGCAGCATTTTATTTTCATGTAATACACACTTGGTTCAAGACTCAACAATATCCTGCTCTCCAGCTGCTGCGGGTATTGCAGTTCTCCAGGAGCTGGGAGATGCTGGCTGCCAGCAACAAATAAATAAAGCATGCTTGCCTGCTTTGAATGCAGATCTAATTTTACTCAGCTATTTATCTCCTCCTACTGGACATGTCTGCACAAAGAAATGGGGACAATGAGATGCCACATACTAGAGTGGATGTATAATATTCTAAAAGCAGAAATATTTTAATACAAGTTTCTAACTGTTTATTTAAATCCAGTTATTTTTTTTAGCTTTGGATGCAGTGGAAAAAACTTACACATTTGTCAGATCTCTATTTCTACCCTCACTTCCTGTCTGAGATACATATACAAAAAAGAGGGAACAACTGTCACAGGGACAGAAAACCACAGAAAGCAATAAAAACATTGTCAGAAGTTTCAACTCTTCCTCACTGTAAATGTTTTTGTCTGTGTCGTCACTTTTATATCTGGAGAATAAAAAGGAAAACTCTCTAATACAGACAACTGAGGAGGCTGTTTAATCCTTTCCTGCTCTATTAACATTAAAATTATTTTTGGGGCTAGAAATGGTCTTAATAGCCTTTATTGGGTTTACACAAATAATATTCCTTTGGGTGTGCAAAAGCTATATTACATCTGTCACTGAAACTGGAATACGGGGAAAATATTCCAATAGGGACACGTTCATTATCTAAGAGGAGTTATCGTCTCAGTTTGAAAAGACTTATTTTGCTTCTTATTGTGTCTTTTCGGAACATAAGTGCAGGGAATACTTCCAGATAGGCACAACACAAAAGAAAACTGACAGGAGTTCTCGCTATTACCTACTGTAAAATGAAATGGTGAACAAATATCCTACACCCTCACAACCCCCCCATTCCCCAGTCCTCGCTGCACCTACTGCTGTGGGTAATGAGCTGTCACTGCCCACTCAGCTGGTGTAGCAGTCTGGAGATTTGAAATCCACCTACAGACAGGAGAAAAATGTCTATTAACACCGCTCCAGACATGGCTGTCTTGGGGCCCCCCCACAGTGGAGGAACACCAGGGCCTGGTCACAAGTGCGACCTTTGTGACCCTGGTAGTTCTGCTACTGTTCTGATTGGTTACTGTTGGAACAAGTGGCACAGTAAATACCCCATTCCCACAAATGGCATTACTCACTGGAATCCTCTCTCTGTATTCTGCTACCATTGTGGTGATCTATCCTGGTAATCCATGGTTGTATTGTCACTGCTGACTTTGCATGTTCTTGTCTTGCAGTTTGATGTTGACGTTGAATGTAATCCCCCATGAAATCTGCTGATCTTGGTGATGGTGACGCTAATTTATTTTCCTTGTCTGCAGGGGTTTCAGCTGTGTCTTTGCTGGTAGGGTGTGTCATGTGACATTTACACAATTTGGCCATCTTATCATGCTTTCCTGTGCTGGCATTCCTCTGTGCAGGTGAGGCAGGTTGCTGGCCTCTTCTGGAATCTGTAATATAAAGGCTTCATATAATCTCAAGTGTAATAGTGCATAGCAACCTGATACAGTTTTTTGCTGGTCTGACACCTCTAGATTCAGATCTGACTATTTATGGTTATACTGGGGCATCTGTGATCCATGGTGGAGGGTGCATTCCTGAATTATAATAAATTACAATTGACAATTATACAGCCAACTCTACTAATAAGGGTCCAAATTTCCAAAAATGTACGCTGCTTTGGGATTTAGTAAAGTCTATATTTGTGAAGAGTGGAAGGTATAAAGAAAAGAATACATTTCAGACTCCCCATGTTTCCTTGCGCCCAGAATCAAGTTCATCTATGCTATTAGCTTTTTAGTTTGTATCTATTTCTTATTACTGAGAGAGCTGTAATGTAAACCTTTTCATAAGTTTTGTTGCTGGGGTATAGGGCTGTGCCAGGTCTTACCCCTCACTGGTGGTCTTCTATGTTTGGGATAATTACTGCGCAGTTTATTCTCCTCCTCTGATTCTGACTCATTCTGTGGAGGCCGCCTTTTCTTTTTCTTCACCTTCCTCTTTTGGAGGCGGGGCTGTGTGCTGAGCATAGTGGATAATAGGCCATGAGATGTGATTGGCTGCGTATCTTCTGAGGTCTTCTTTGTCTTGTTTCGTGGTCTCAGAAACTGAGAGCAAAAGTAGATAAGTATTTAATTAAAAAAATTTAAGAACTCATTCCTCAAGTATTAAAAATATCTAATAAATTATAAATGGCACTAAACTTATTTTGTTATATCTGCATGTTACTTCTCCTTTAGTAACAAAAGGTGCTTATATTTATATTGTGTAGGTCATGTGATGGCACACAATCTTCTTAGCACACACCTTCTGTTTTACCTCTTTGTTCCCCTGAAATGTAACTTTTACTTCAGGGTCGTCGTAAAACAATATGCAGGGCTGGCCATACATTATACAATTTTCATGTACAATGTTCCTCTAGATTTACCATAGTCCTATAATATGAGGTTAAACCTAAGCACTTTCAATTTGTATTCAATCAGGCAGTCACACAAAACCCCCCAAAAGTATTACACTACATAGTTGAAAGTAATTCTAAAGGAAATTGAATAAGAAAATTTTATAATGTATGGCCAGCTTTAGGCTACCCAGTAGTCCACCTGCAGGAATGTATAGTGTTATTTTGTGTATAGTCTTTATGTTCAATAATAGAAGATAAATTAAACAATAATGTATTTGTTTTAAATTGGGTAAATATACACTATCGATTTCATGTTTAGCACTTGCAGATGGAGTTGTCTGAAGGTTCTTTTCTACAACTCTTGTGCCAGATATACTCCCAAGTGACTTAGAGGTAAGAAACCCCTCTGGTGCATAGGGATACTGCTGCACTGAGTCAGCAGAAGGATCTTTCTCAATACTCAATGAAAATTGGCTAGCGGCAGTGGCTGAATTCTACAATCATGTGTAAGGCCATTATTGCTTTTTATATTAAGGTAGAGAGAATTTTCATTTTATTTATCGCCCTCTAGTGTCTAGAGCCCTCTGTGCTATAGAACCCCCTGGTCCTGGTGTGAAAGTTAGTGTTACCCATTTCCTGGTTGCCAACAGACTCTTCACATGTGCTGCTCACTGAGTGATCACCTTGTATTTTCTTCGTCTGATCGTCAAGGATTCCACACCTGGAAGACACAGACTGTTGACTGTTTCACCCTGGTCAGGCTGATGTGGCTGATTTACTAATACTAGACTGGAACAAAAATTGTGCTGCTCTCTGAAATAGCCAAGCAGGTTTTGACTTTCACTCTTGGAAAAATTACCAAGAAATCAATTTTTTTATGATATACTTTAAGCCCCCTTTTTATTAGTTGTCCCCCGAGAATCAGTTTTTTCTTGTTCTTTTTGAGCTAGTGAGCAGGCAAAGAATGACTGCACCTCTGTTATAAATTTGACTGTTGCTCCTGACATCAGTTTGTGTGGTGACAGCAGTCCTGTTATTGCTGTGCAAGCCCCTTTAATTTTTAGACCTCTGTTAAGTAGACATGTGCAGTTCATTTCGAATCCAAATTCGGACAAAATTTGTTATTCAGAGACTGATGTATCCGAATTACAATAGTAATGAATTTAAATGAATCTGAAATAATGAAATTACATTTCATCCAAAAACTGATCCAAAATCGAATCGAAAACTGAATCGAATTCAAGAGCAAATTCGAAATGTATACATATTGCTTACTATTGCTAATTTCCTTCAAAGACTATGTGTATTAGAATATAGTGGTCTTCCAAAATTTGAATTTGGAAAAGAATAGAATAAAACAAAATAGAATTGAATAGAATAGAAAATAAAGCATAAAATAGAAAATAAAGGAATATAATAAAAAATGAATAGAATAAAATAGAATATAGCTGTCTTTCAGTTTTAAGTTTTTTTTTTTCCTTTAGAGTTGGTAAACCCCTGGTGACCCAGATAAAAAAAAAAAAATGTTCCAGGGAAGGGAGGCCCCATCTATGAAATAACATCTTCCTTACCACAGTATTGTTTTCTTCCCTGTACCTGTAGCATGGTTTTCCTCCGCTAAGCTCAGTGATTCGAAAACAGCCATGTCTTCCCTGCTGAAATCCCACACGGTACCGATATTCACAACATGAGCTGATTCGGGCTGTAATGAGTCCATTGATGTAGATGCTGGCGCTGAATGGATAGCCATAATGGCGGCGAGAGACCATCTGAAACCTCTCTTGAATGCAGAATACAACACACAACGTAAATTCTCTACTGGTGTAATCTAATTTTACAAAGTGTACTTATTTGGTAGACCAAAACCCAAATTAAATAGATACTGCTCAAATGCCCCAATCTGTTATACCAGCCGAGTGACCACAATGTTTGCAGGTGCTGGTTATGTTCAATACTCGCTCATCAGACACATTGAGAACAACAAGATGATGCCCGTCTGCATGCTGCATCGGCATATGGTGAACTCTTTACTAAGAGGAGCTCACCATATTTACCGAGGCAGTTTACAAAGTGTACTGTTATCTTTCTTGTCACCTTCCCATTATGGGATCAGATATTTCCTTAATAAACTAAGAAAGGGAGCTGGAATTTAAGGCCCTTTAGATATCCACCAAAGACTACTCCCCCATATACCTAGCACAATAAGGGAATTACCTCTTCCAGGCCCTGCATTGATGGGCATTTACCCTTGCTGCTGGCATGGGCTTACCTCTTGGGCTCATCGCTGATGGACAGTTACCTCCTTTGCTCACCATTGATTGTGGACTTCCCTCTCTGTATCTGTCATTTGTGCTGCTTCGACTTACCCCCCTGAATTCTCATCACTGTTCACAATTTGTTGCTCCCCACATCGGTGAGGACTTACCTCCAGGGCTCAGATAACCCTTGAATACACAGACGCTCTCTCCACCGCAGATCTGTTGAAACATGCTGACTTCATCTTTAGGATTGATCATCTCATTCGTGATGGAGAATCCGGTACCCAAATACTGCAGGATCATCTTAACATTGGAACGTCTGTTGAGCATTTGAGGTGACGTTTTATAATGGCCGAAACTGGACTGTGCGACCTAAACATATTGCAGGAATGTCAGAGCAAATTCACAACTGATATATTGTTTGCACTGTGTGTTATAAATACCAAATCCATGTTGCCACTTTTAAATTGGATGGCACCCAGACTTCCAAAGTAATGCTGTCTTCATTCCCCAGTTGATTCTCCATGTATAATAAATAACCCTGTTACAGCTGTGAGAGAACAAGGACTCTAAGAGATATAAGAAACCAGTGGGGATTCAACTCATTAGTGCCCAAAAAAAGCACCTCAATTTAGAAGGTTTGGCCTTTTGTTAATCTGTACTTTTGTAAAGTATGTTTATATTACATGAGCTGTGATTAAGCAAATAACAGAAAATGACAGTCAATAACTAGATTTGACTAATATTTACTCTCTCCTCTCCACTATCAGAATTGTATCCATTGCTACTGAGGCTGCGCTCTCTGTGTCAAGAACATCAGCAGGAGGATAGGGCTTGTGAATTTGCCATTATGCACAGTTAGTCCCAATGTAAGTTGTTATTTATCTACATGTTCAGTGTATATTTTAAATTCCTGCCAAATGTATAATTAAAGAACCACTACCATAGTCATAAAACTGCTACAAGGCTGGCAAAAAGGTCCTAATATTATTTACAGAGGAATTTGTGAAAGTTTTCATGTCTTTATTTGACTTTTGATCTAATATTTAATTTACAAAAAAAAGTAAATAAGATATAGTGCAAGAGACAGCAGCTTTATGCCTTATACAGTGGGGAAAAAAAGTATTTAGTCAGCCACCAATTGTGCAAATTCTCCCACTTAAAAAGATGAGAGAGGCCTGTAATTGGCATCATAGGTAGACCTCAACTATGAGAGACAAAATGAGAAAAAAAAATCCAGACAATCACATTGGCTGAATTGGAAAGAATTTATTTGCAAATTATGGTGGAAAATAAGTATTTGGTCACCTGCAAACAAGCAAGATTTCTGGCTCTCACAGACCTGTACCTTCTTCTTTAAGAGGCTCCTCTGTCCTGCACTCATTACCTGTATCAATGGCACCTGTTTGAACTTGTTATCAGTATAAAAGACACCTGTCCACAACCTTAAACAGTCACACTCCAAACTCCACTATGGTGAAGACCAAAGAGCTGTCGAAGGACACCAGAAACAAAATTGTAGACCTGCACCAGGCTGGGAAGACTGAATCTGCAAAAGGCAAGCAGCTTGGTGTGAACAAATCAACTGTGGGAGCAATAATTAGAAAATGGAAGACATACAAGACCACTGATAATCTCCTTCAATCTGGGGCTCCACACAAGATCTCCCCCCCCCCCCCGTGGGGGTCAAAATGATCACAAGAACGGTGAGCAAAAATCCCAGGACCACACGGGGGGACTTAGTGAATGACCTGCAAAGAGCTGGGACCAACGTAACAAAGGCTACCATCAGTAACACACTACGCCACCAGGGACTCAGATCCTGCAGTGCCAGACGTGTCCCCCTGCTTAAGCCAGTACATGTCCGGGCCCGTCTGAAGTTTGCTAGAGAGCATTTGGATGATCCAGAAGAGGATTGGGAGAATGTCATATGGTCAGATGAAACCAAAATAGAACTGTTTGGTAGAAACACAACTCATTGTGTTTGGAGGAGAGAGAATGCTGAGTTGCATCCAAAGAACACCATACCTACGGTGAAGCATGGGGGTGGCAACATCATGCTTTGGGGCTGTTTCTCTGCAAAGGGACCAGGACGATTGATCCATGTACAGGACAGAATGAATGGGGCCATGTATCGTGAGATTTTGAGTGCAAACCTCCTTCCATCAGCAAGGACATTGAAGATGAAACATGGCTGGGTCTTCCAACATGACAATGATCCCAAACATACCGCCCGGGCAACAAAGGAGTGGCTTCGTAAGAAGCATTTCAAGGTCCTGGAGTGGCCTAGCCAGTCTCCAGATCTCAACCCCATAGAAAACCTTTGGAGGGAGTTGAAAGTCCGTGTTGCCCAGCGACAGCCCCAAAATATCACTGCTCTAGAGGAGATCTGCATGGAGGAATGGGCCAACATACCAGCAACAGGGTG